CAGAGATACACACCCAGATACACAGGGGCTGTCTGGAGGGGTGAGACTGAGAAATGGAGGTTTTACTGCACTTGGAAAATCGCATCATCGCCATCTCCCAGGGATTAAGGGGTTAGGCAGCATGAGAACTGAGAAACAAAGAAGGCAGGGACAGCCCTGGGGTTGTGGGTGGGAGGAGGAGGAGGAGGAGGAGGAGGAAGGCAGCTGCTTGCCAGCCCTCAGAGCCTGCCGAGCTGCGGGCCAGTGCTGCTCACATGGCCGGGAGCAGGAGCAAGGCCACCCTCCGTGTGTGGCTCGTGTGCCCTGGGCTGCTCAGCTGCTTCTTGCTGGGCTTTCTTACAGGTGAGTACAGAGACCCAGGGGCTCATCCCGCAGCTTCCTTCCCCTGTGATTAACTCACCAGCAGGGACATTATACTTCTCTTTAGGGGCATTGTAAAGTACTCATCCCACTGCTTTTCTAAGCTTTTCTGCCTAGTAATTTCTGTCTTCAGGGAGTGTGGAACAGAACAGCTCTGTGCTTCAGCTCAGGACAAGCCCTGGTGATCTGACAGCTTCCCGAAACAGGCAGCCAGGCATTCAAAGAGAAAGGGTTAATACAAGAGTTTGAGACTTCAGTGATTGCAAGATCTCGCAGATTTTTTTCTTAATTTTTATTTCCTGTTTTTTACTGAGGATATTTTTAAATGGTCCTATTCAGTTGCTATTTTAGAAATGAAGGGTAGACTGTAGAGGAGGAGTTTGACTGACAGCCAAGTTGCTGAAGCCTTCATTATGCACATTGGACTTTACTAGAGATTCTTTTCTGAAGTCACTCGCAGCATTTGATTTTAAATTAAAATTGCATGTCCTTTTAAAACTTGTGTTGTAGCACAAACCTAAGACTAAAGTATGAAAGAAAAATACACGTGGACTATTAAATATACAAAATATTAGTTTCATTTAGGAGATCCCTGAGCTGCTAATTTCTGGTGCTTGTGCTATGCTTAAACATTTCCCTGAACATCATTTTTGGCCCTGTTCCAAAACAGGATACTGGGCAAGGCGGACTTTTGGTCTGACCAAGCTTCACTGTTCAGTTCAGAGTGTTATTACAATTGTATTTAAGTGTAATAGGTCATATATACTGTGCATGTGACTGTACAGGTATTTGTCTGTCTTATGAAAACTTTTCCAGTTTGGGATTGTCTAACTATAATAACAGAAGGATATTTTGTTGTTGGTTTTCTTAAGACAAGCTCATACATTTGGTATACCCTCTCCTACTACTATTTATGGCTACTGAATAAACATTTTAAAACTGGCTTGGGTGACAGTTAACTTTATTCTTTTAATTATTAGATAGGCTAACACCTCCCTTCCCCAAGTCTGTAACTATTACAATGCTGGCAGGGTGGCTGTTGAGTCCTAGACCTTCACTTTAAATATGCTTATACATCTATTTTAAAATATATGCATAAACAAAATAAATTTCATCATCAGGAATTCGAATCTCACACTACAAACAGTTAATTGAGAATTTAAACTATAGTTTAAAATTAATAAGAGATCAGTCTGCCTTAAAAAGGAGATTTACCATGGATTTAGGTTTTACTCTTTTCATTATGTCACTTTTAGGCATTTCAGTCAATGAAATATATTTTACTTTTCTGCTTGAGCACTGCTTGAGCCTTCAGATACTGACAGAGGGTGCTCTAAGCCCTGTTCATCCTTGTGGTTTTAACTGTTTAGTACCACAGGTTGCACCTGTGCTCAAACATGTGAGGACATTCTTGCTAAGTAGGAAACTTTTCAAATTTGTTTCAGGATGGTTTACAAAACTGACCGAGGAAAATCCCAACTCTTCAGATGTCCATCAAAGTGTGAGACAGAAACTTGTGGCTGAAATGAAAGCAGAGAATATCAGGAACTTTCTTCGGTAAGCCTTGTGCATCGTTTTTTTGAAGAATTTTATCAGTCAAAAAAGCCAGAAAGTGCTAACATCAGCTCCAAGGACAGGCCTCTGAAAGCAGAGCTTTTAAGATGCTTTGGAAGTACTTAGTTTGTACAAAATGTCTGAGGGAAGAAGGGAGAGGCTTAAAACTCTTCTGTTCCCCCACTCCCCATTTTTGAAGTCGCCTTTTTGAAGTGGTTCTACTGTCAAGTGTACTTCTCTCAGCTGCATAGCTACCAGCGCTTACCAGTCTTCATGATTTCCCATCTTCTTGATTTAATGAAGTGTGCCTTTTTTTTTTTTTCTCACAAGTATCTGAAGCTCTAACCTCAGATAACTTTTTTTTTTTTTCAGACTGAGATGATTTTACTGTGTTTGGGATATGATGATTGACATGAATTCCATCTGACTGATCATCTGTTCAGTGTCTCTTTAAACTTTCAGTTACAGCAGCTAGTCAAAGTAGAAAATTAATCTATTAAAAATCAATGCTACAGATTTGCATGGCACTGAGTTGCATGTATGCTTACAACTTATAATTCTTTTAGTGTGTCCATACTGGATAATGTGCTGTTAATTGGGAGCTCTGACATCCCATTATACCCTGTCTTCTGTTTCAGAGATAAAGGGCTCTGTCCATGGTCAGTGTGTGTGTATAGTTGATTAATGCTTGCATGATGTAACTATTGGTAAATATACTTTTTTGCATTATAATGCATCCATGCAATTATTTCAAAATATCTGAAATGCTAGGGATAGAAAAATAATCTTTTTTTACAAATTTTTATTGTTCCACTGAAAATGAAAAAAGCCCTACATTATTGTCTATATTTATATTTTCTATAGAGGAACAAATATATTCACATGAAAAGTAAATAAACACTAACTCTGGTTAGTAAAATGTTTGCATTCAGCACGTAAGTCAGCAGCTGCACCACGAACATCAAAGGATTACTGACAAATTTGATTTCCATACATTTATTCTAAACCCAAAAGGTTTCATACCTAGCATCAATTTTGCTTTTTAAGTATACAGGCCTCATCTTATTTTGTATTTGTTGCTTTCAGTAGATAGGAGAGTTCCTGAAAATTACGTTTGAATGAGAATCTAGGCAACATAGCATGAAAGAGCTCTGTAATTATGCCAAAGCCTCTTGGCCATGGGATATTAATGATTTCTCATTTGTCTGCTTGCTTTGGTGATGGGCCAAATGTTTCATGCTGGTTGGGTTTTTTTGCCTAAATTCAAATAAAAATCAGGAAATTCTGAGAAAGTGTATTAACACACTAACTAAAAAGTTTGTGGAAAGCATAAAAAATGTGAACTTGAGAATTTTGCTCCATATTCTTCCTTTTCCAGACTACTGCATCTGCTTTTACCACATGAGGTAAGAAAACTCTGAGTCTCAGAAAATACAGATGCTTTGGTCTCAGCATTGTATCATAGTTTTGGAAAGGATTCAACTGTTTGGAAGGGAAAATTTGGAAAAAAAAGTGTTTTTCCTGATGCCATATGTGGTATTTAGTATACTTTAAGAATTAAAAGGTACTTAAAATACTAGTGAGAATTAAAGTGAAAGAAGCAAACAAGCAACAGGGTTTGGCAGAGGTTGCTTCCAGACTTTGGTGCATACCCTCACAATTTAAAGAGACACCAGCAGGGAGCAAAAGGTTGTGGTCTACTTAGAAAATCTGGATGTATTCAAATCCTGGGGCCAGGTGGGACTCATGTGAAAGAGCTTTATGTTAAGATTGTAATGCTGTTGTAGATGAGAAGTTCTGATGATTGAAAGAGGCCCCAGGTGGCTGAAAAAGGCTGATATTGTTGATAACAGATCCTCCAGGAATCTGTTTTCAAATACATGAAGCACAAGGATATAGTTTGAAAGAGTTACCATTTATCTACTATTTGTTTGTGTGGTCAGCATATTGCCTTCTGTAAGGAAATGAATGGCTACATGCATGAGTGGAGACATAGTGGCTGTAACAACCTTGACTTTAACAAGCCTTTGAACATCATTCTCCTCTGGAAGCTGAGGAAGTACACATTGCAGAACAAGGGTTGAAAACAGTCTGAAATGACAGGCTGAAGTGGTATTAATCATGGTATTTGCTACCACTAATTAATGGTAATTGCTGTTATCTGACATCTGTGGGGCAGCCATTGACAAGTAGCCTGTTGGGAATTGGAAGCTGGTGCAGAGTACCTGGAAGACTGATGAGCTTTCACCATTCCTTCCTTGTTCACTGGGCCAAACAAATTGTACTCAAATTTCTGTAGGGTAGCCTGGAGGGAATGGATTCTGTTTGTGACACTTTATCACCATTATGTGTTATATCTGATTTGGAAGTAAATGTTGTTAAGAAGGTTTTGTTATTCAGGCTTTTGATTAAGAAAAAGAGCAAACCTGTGCAGATAATTTAATGCAATGATTTTCAAGTTAAACATTTTGGGATATTGGGACACGTTGTGACAGCAGTACAAATCCATGATCAGGTGCCAGAATTATCTGGAAGGCTCCTTTCTGAATGCATAGCTTTCCTGTATTTATTTCTACTTCTTGCATGCTGCTAATATTCTTTTGCTGAATCTTTGACATTGATTTTCATTGCTTGTATGTAGATGTGGTTATTTCTGTTGTGCAAAGAAAGAAGTTCATTTCACTTAAGGCTTCAGGAAAGATCCTCTGCTCTGAGTATATTTTGTACATGTCCTGATGGGGACTCTGATAAGCAATCATGTTATACAGCTCAAACTTTAAGATGTTACTGTCCATGCAATGTATCTTGAAGATTAGCTTTATACACACTGATCCTATTTCACTATTGTATCTCTGCATTTGCTGCTTACCAGTGGTTTTCTGTTTTATTCTAGTTCATTTACCAAGTTGCCTCACCTCGCAGGAACTGAGCAGAACCTTCTTCTTGCCAAAAAAATCCAAGGCCAGTGGAAGGAATTTGGATTGGATTCAGCAGAACTTGTTAATTATGATGTGCTTCTTTCATACCCAAATGAAAAGGAGCCAAACTACATTTCAGTAATTGATGATCAAGGGAATGAGGTGAGTTTTTTCAATGACAAAACTATATTTATGCAAAACAAAAGAAACCTCAGTGACTTCCTGTTAAAAAAAGTGTCTTCTTCTATATTCTCACCTACTCATCTCAGTATGTTGTGCTTTATATTATTAAAAAAAAATCAGTGCAAAGGGAATTCATATTTAGAAATGTTTTTCCAGGCTATGCAGAAAGCACAGCAAAGTGGCTGAGATCTCAGTGCCTCATATGGAAGAGTGAGGATGTGTGGGGAGGCTGCAGTTAACACCAGTAGACCATAAGGTGTTAGAAGGGTTCAGCTTAAGGATACATCTAGGATAATATCCTGTTTCCATAAACAGCCTTAAGTGGATACACAGGGACGTTTAAAAACAAAGAAATGTATTTCAGGCATGCAGTTCTTCCAGTGTCTAGCTGTTTTCAGCTCTGGGCTTCTCTGAATGTGCTGCAATTATTCCCTTGAAAAATCCTTATTAGACCTTTTCCAAGTATTTATCCAGTCAGTGACCCTCATTACATCTCTCTTCCAAGTACCCATCCAAACCCTGCTTGAACATCTGTATAATATTTGCTTCCACAACATGCTGAGGTAAGGAATTGCAGAGATACTATCAATTTTATGTAGTATTGCCTTGTTTCCCTTGCTCTGAACCTGATCCCACTGGCTTCCTATGGTGTCTCCTGAGTTAGTTGGAAGTACAACTAAACTACTCAGTCTATAGACATCTTCTCCCTTTTGAATACCCAGGGAAATAAAGAAGTAGATGTAAATTCTGACAAGGAACCTGAGCAAGGAGAGGAGATGGGACTGCTAGAGAAGCATCATAGCACATAGGTAAGGATGAAGAGCCAGGGTGGAAAGTAAGGAATATGTGCTCAGAGATGACATGAGCTTAGAGGTGAAAGCTTCCAGAAACCCTGTAAAAGTGTCTCAGCTACAAGGTGACAAAAGGTTGACATGCAACATGAGTGTTACAATACATAGTGATAAAAGACAGCATGTTTAACTGGAGTATTACTAGATAAGAGATAAGAAGAATAATATTGCAGGTGGGAGAAACCACAAAAGACAGCTAGGATGGTGTGGATGAACCAGATGTCTTTTACTGTCCACATCTCTTGGCAATTTTCAGCTATTTTTTCCTTAGCTTCAGGCAGTGACTGCTGAGCATCTTCTGGCACTGAAGATCTGTCTCTGCATTCATATCTGCATTCTATTGCAAAACTTCAGCTCTGGATACCTACCTGTATTTTTGTTTGAACTTATGTGTACTAATTAGAAATGCATTTTTTGCTATCAATTTGTCAAAACTGTAGTTTAAACTGCTGACAAAGCTAACTAAGTTGGCAAAAGCCAAGGCTTTTGATACTTTTCATCCATAGGACTGCTGTATTTTGAAATAGTAATTATTTGACAAGGAGTCTGATGCACAGAAACTGAATAACTGTCTCTTCTGACTTTAAACTATAATTAGCATTTGCTTAGTGTGTAAATTTGTGCCTAGAATGTTTGACCAAAAACTACTGTTATTTTTTAATAGGTTTTCAATACATCATTGTTTGAACCACCTCCACAAGGGTATGAAAATGTTACTGATATACTACCACCATATAATGCCTTTTCAGCACAAGGAGTGCCAGAGGTAAGAAAAGAAATTATGTAATGGAACTATTACCTATTTTTCTGGCACAATTTGCTCCAACTTCTCAGAATATTTGTTGCAGTAGTTTTTATTACCATTTGTCTTAATTAAATAACACTTAGGCACAGATAGGCCATATATTATGCAAAGGTGAGAAGTCTTTTATGACCAAAAAAGAACTTTCTCAAATTGCTGTAATTCTGAATCACGTAATTAAAGGTTTTATCTTGATGGAAAATTTTGGATACATCTCAGATTGCTCCATATTATTCAGTCATATATAAAAGACTTGCTTAAGGCACAGGTAGAACTAGCAATATTTATATCAAATTGGAAGACATTTTAGATTAAATGAATGCCTTCACAGGATAGAGATGTTCCTCACTTAATCTGCTAATTCATTATGGAACAGGTCAGGGACAACATTGCATTGCATAAATGAATGGAATTATATAGTGGTGAGTGTTTGTGTATGCAAAGCATACCACCACCTTGTCACAGCCAGACAAGTTTGTCAGTTTACAAAGTATGCTGGCTTATTTTCCAGCCTGTTCTTAGGACTATTGTTAAGTGCAGGATAATATCCAAACATCAGAAACTTGAGCCAAAGCTTCCTATAGAATATTGTGGCTATATTTTGCTATTGTTTTTTTGGGCACTGGATCTCATTTGTAGAAATGAAAAAAGAAAATTATAAATCCTCTATCATACACAGTGAATGAAACTGTATTTCTGTATTTTGTTTGTTGACTGACCAGCGGCCACAACACTGCTTTTGTTTTCTGCCCAGGCAGATCTGGTGTACGTGAATTATGGCCGTACAGAAGACTTTTTTAAGCTGGAGCGTGAAATGGGAATTAACTTTACAGGAAAGATTGTCATTGCCAGATATGGGAAGATCTTCAGAGGAAACAAAGTAAGGGCTGTGTTTTAATTTTTCCTCTGTGGGTCAGACACTGTTCATGGGAGAGCTTGAGGGAATTAGTAAGGGCTGTTTGTTGGAACATATGAGCAGAAGGAAGCCTGCAATGTATCCATTGTGACCGCAGTCTAAGAATAACTTCCAAAACAATAAAACCAGATGAATGTATTAAACTTCTGAGACAGAGATGACTGCAAACTCCCTAGGCACTTCTTGCAAGAGAACAGTTTAGGGAATTGAGTAGTTTGTAGAGCCAAGTCTTTTGATACTTGCCATCCATAGAACTGCAATACTTTGAAATAGTAGCTTTTTGACAGGGAGTCTGATGAGCAGAAACTGAGTAACTATCTCTTCTGACTTTAGACAACAAATCTGGCAAAACTGGTAACAGTGGAGCAGTGGGGATGGTGATCAGGTTTAGTGCTTCATTTTTATGTTCTGTGCTTTATTTCATAGCCTTGAGCTATGACTAAAGGTTTGACACAAATAATGAACATATTGCATTTCACTATGCTTGGTTCTTCTGCTGAATCTGGGGTAATTTTCACTCTTTCACAAACTTGTCTTCTAAAATTATGTCTGCATGGAAGCAAATCTCAACAGTCAGATTATTTGCTGTATTAAAAAAAAAAAATGCAGGCCACATCTTAAAAGCAGATAATTTCACAGGTTAAAAATGCCATATTAGCAGGAGCCCAGGGGATCATACTTTACTCAGATCCTGCTGACTACTGTGCCCCAGGAGTAGATGTTTATCCAGGTGGCTGGAACCTTCCAGGTGGAGGAGTCCAGCGTGGGAATGTGTTAAATCTGAATGGAGCTGGGGACCCCCTAACACCAGGTTATCCTGCAAAAGGTGAGTACAAGTTCTGTAGCCTGGGCCATATAAGTACTTTATAAACTGCTGCTGAAAGTGTGACACTAGAAATTAATTTATTTTCAGTACAGATGCACAGAAAAAAACTGCTTGAAATTCTTATTGACAGTAGCTAACTTTCTATTGCAGACTAAGTTCTGTCTGTGTCATTCTGACTGGTTTCAGTTAGGCAGGGGAATAAAGTTTCTAGGGAGCCCTTTTTATGGTCCCACCCTTGTAACACTTAAAAAAGCAAGTCTGTAAGTCTACAGACTGTGAAGCAGCAGAAAATGACTGAGACCTTATAGTAATTTTAAAATATCCGTGTTTCTCAAAAGGAAAGTTTAATCTAGGTTATAGTTTGCCATCAAAGAGGATTAATAGCTTTACTTGGATGTATGTTTCCTTGCTGATTATAAGTTCCAGGCAGAAAAAACAGCTTAAAATCCTTTTAAAGGGGAATAAAAATCTTGTAGCAAAAATGGGAGCAGCCTGGAGTCTTTCAAAAGCTGGCACCATGGACTTCCTTGTCCTTGTCGGCATCCTACACTCATCTTCACCTCACACACCGGCTTGGTTTCCCCAGAGCCAACCTGGAGAAGATGTTATAATGTGGTTGGACAGCAAATTTAACCTTGCATCAAGTGTGGGGACATCTTTTGCCCTTTTGCACTGCTGTGCAGATGCATTACTGGGTTTGTGGTTCTGTTATTGCAGTTTGGTTTTCTAGAAGCAGTGTGTGAGAAATGATGCAAGAATTAAAAAGAATCGTGCATGCTGGTGGCTGCTCTGCTCAAAAGTGTTTCCATTTTGGTAAAAGTTGCTAAGAACGCTATAAATTTGACATTTTGTTCTGGTTTCTCAGAGTACACTTTCAGGTATAAAGTTAATGAAGGTGTAGGGATTCCCAAAATCCCGGTTCATCCCATTGGATATCAAGATGCAGAAGTATTACTGCGGTGAGTATACATCAGTCCTTCTCTCCAGAAGTCAGTATTGACAAATGTGCAGACACATTTTTCCTGTTAAGATGGCAAAATCCATGGTTACTTGCATTTGCTATTCTTTTGTAATAATGTGCTTCAGAAAATGTGAAAAATTCAAAGAAATCTGTTTTTGCAATAATGCTTTTAAGAATTTTGTAAAACCACCTAGGTTTTTCTGCAATAATTATTAAGAGAATTTGAGGTTTCAGCCTAATGGTCAACTGCATTTGTCTTGGTTTTCACTCACAGTGCAATGGGAGGACCTGCAGCTCCAGACAGCAGCTGGAAGGGAAGTCTCAATGTGCCTTATAACATAGGGCCAGGATTCACAGGCAACTCTTCTACAAGGTCTGTTTTAATACTTGCCTGTTTATACAATATTGAGGGAAAAAAAAATCCCTCTGAGGAAAAGACTCTGAAACAATACGTATAGAGATCTCTGGAGATATTTACTTCCTTCTGCTAGGGTTACATTTGGAGATAATTATTAGAATTTGAAAATGAATTGCATTAAAAAGGATCATAAATTAGCAGATCAGGCCACATGACAATGACATTTGGCAATAAATTTCAAAAAAGTTAAAGATCACTTTTCTGTGACTTTTCCACATAAAAATAGTTTCAGTTTATATGAGGTATTATTCAATGAGGACTGTCAGTGGACCCCAATGAACAGTGTGTAAAAATGTTATCCATCTCCTGGATAACAAGAGCATGTCGGAATATATAATTTTATAAATATTTAATTTATCATTATTCTTTTCTGCTCTGCTTTAATACTAGCTGAAAATGAATAAAGTAGGAATAACTAAACAAGAAAGTATATTTCACATAATTACAGTGCTGTTTGGAGTATCTTGAAGAACAGCTGTGAGAAAACAGTGTGATTCATCCACAAAATTTGTATTTTGGAGTTTTTAACATCTTCCTACTTGGTCGAGCAACTTTTTTTTTTTTTGTAAATATGGATTAATTCTACACTATACTTCTGTCTCAGAGTAGTTCCATATCAAAATGAACTTTTTGGTTCTAGGTAGAAAGTCACTTGGACATGGAAATTGAGTGTGTATATGCACGTTCAAGGCACTGGTGTCAGTTATTTTCTGGGCAAAGATCCAGTGGCTGTCCTGAAGTAGGTTTTGATTTTGACAGCTATGCAGATTTGCTGCTGAAAAGATAACTTCAAATGTGGAACTCCTGAGGTTTTGCCAGACACATAACACCCCATTGTTTGGTGCTTTATTTCTTCCACAGGTTAAGGGGGGCTGAATGCTGTGTTAGTTTTATCTCTCCTGGAGATAAATCCTGGATTCCCTTTGTTTTTATAAAATTTCACAAGTGGATTACACTCGTGGGGGGATGTGTGACTAGTGCTTCCAGTACAAAGTTTTCTGCCTCTAATGGAAGATTCCCTGCCCATGACAGGAGGTTGGAACGAGATGACCTTTAAAGTCCCTGCCAACCCAAACCATTCTGTGATTCTGTGCTTGACAAATCTTGATCACTTAGATCTGCTGTCCTAAAGAGAGATTTCAGCTTATTCCTGGATGAATATTCCTAACGTTCTTTTTTCTCCAAGTTCTTTATTATTACATGGACCTGTGCTAGAAAACCAAAGTGCATTCTTTATAAACATCTGCATATCCACAATTATAATTTTGGTCAAAATGTAGATGTATTTTTTAATTACTGTGCATGCTTTTCAGTTTATTCCTGTACACAATTATCTGATTGGTTCCCATAAATAAAAATTCAATAAATTCTGTTAATCTTTGCAAATTTATAGACTGACCCAGCTCATAGGCTTTTTCCTAAGGCATCAGCAGCAGGCTAAACTGAAATAAAAAATGGGACTCTGAGACAGCATGACAATGCTGAGTGCACATTGGATCAGTGCATAAAGTACATAAAGTACATAAAGCAGAATAGAAGCACAAACTCTCTGGTTGCTGTGTTATTAGCATTGGCTTTTTATGGCTTATTACTCAGAAATGGTTACTCTACACTCTTTCATTTCAGAAAAGTCAGAATGCATGTTCATACAAGCAATAAGATAACACGAATTTACAATGTCATTGGCATCCTCAGAGGAGCTCTGGAACCAGGTGAGCATCAGGCACTTGATGATTTTAATTCCTTCTTTCTTTTCTATTTTTTGAAATTGCATTGGTGTTGTAAGAAACTTAAAGTTTTTTAGATATCCATATAACATGGAGTCTTGAGAAATTCTTAATAGCTTTTCTGTCTTTCCTATCACACTATTTGTCATTGGCATTCCCAAGAATAGCATTCCTGTTAAAATACAATGATAGAGAATGTTTTTTTCATAATGCCTGTTATTTTACAGTAGGCTTATCCTTATCAGTCATACATTTTGCATTTGCCAAAATTAACACCATTCAAATTACAGAAAACTAGTGATGACTTGGGACCTTAACATTATACTATTGATACATAGTAGCAGGTCATATACATGAAAGACTTTCAGGTGGAAAAATATTTATTAAATGTTTCTTGTCTTTAGTTGCATACCTTAGTAGAGTAAGTGAATGATTGCAGATTCCCCTAAAAATCAAACTTGTAGCACTGGTATTGAACTTCATATTTGATTTGATACAAGTAAAGATGCAGTGAAAGGAAATCACAGGTAATCCGAGTGCATTTTTAATTATTAATTGATACTGTATGTTTGTTTCCAGACAGATATATTATTTTAGGTGGTCACAGAGACTCTTGGGTGTTTGGTGGTATTGATCCAACGACTGGTGCAGCTGTTCTGCAGGAAATTGTACGGAGTTTTGGCAAAATGAAGGTGGAAGGTAACTTACTACAGATGTAAAATTATGGATATGGAAAACAGTAGCTTTGACAATCAGTGCTTCTACAGGCTGTTGTATTGATTTAACTTTTCACCTCTACAGAAAGTTTTATTTCTTATTATGAACGGTGTAAATTCATTGAAGAGATGCATATGTAGACTTGCATGGTATTTGGCAGAATTTATTCCCTCCTGTGTGTAATGGTACCCTCTTAGCTGTGCAGAATGCAAATATTGCATTAGGAAGAAATGCCTCTGCAATAATATATTCCTCTAAGGATTTTAGAGAGGATTTTTTTTTTACTGTTATATCAGTTAAGTGCTGTTTTTAAAGCAATTTCAATTAACTGTGGTCAGTAGACTTTTAAAGTAAAAGCTGAATTTTCAAGTTTAACTATGTAATTGCAGGTTGGAGACCTAGGCGAACTATTATTTTTGCTAGCTGGGATGCAGAAGAATTTGGATTATTGGGTTCCACAGAGTGGGCTGAGGTAAAGAAAAAACTGTGTAAAGCAAAGCAAAACTTGAAAGTGTGTAGCAGGTGACTGCAGTACCCAGGATCTATACCTAGACTGCAATCAAAAACCTTGTGGTAAAATAAGAGCACAATAGACTCCTTCAGGTGTTGTGAGGCACTCAATGTATTTATATAAATTACCTATCTACCTACCTTCTTACAACATAAGTGAACTAACTTTTCTAAGATTTAAAAATCTACTTTGATTCAAAGCTAATATCCCACAGTGGTCTCTATGTGGAAATCTATCCCATTATTTAACAAAATGATAGCATTTTATTTAACCCAGATTGGTCTAACTTTCTATTTCAGAAATTCCTTGGCTTCTATAAATTTAAATCCAGATTCTGAACCTCTAATCCATAAACATGCCAAGCCTTTGTATGAAAATCAATCCTACTGGGCAAATCGAAGAATAGGTAATCTATGAATGAATAGATCAAAATTCCTGTGAATTCCAGAATTGTAGAGTTTCAGGGGCAGGACAGTCAATTAATTCTGTAGGAATACACCTGCCTGAAAGAAGAATGTTGGGAAATTCAAAAGTGAGATTCTGGGTATTTTTATCTTCCTTTTCCTATTGGGTATGTTATTTTTATCTTCCTTTTCCTGCCTGAGAGAAGAATGTTGGGAAATTCAGAACTGACGTTATGAATACTTTTATCTTGGTTTTTCTGCTGGGCATGTTCAGTTTTTAGTGGATTTGTTCAACTCCAATAAGAAATATAGGTCTTACAAGAGTTTTCATTGCTTTGTCTGTAAAATTCAAATTAGAAATAGAGCATGAAGTAAGTTGCCTGATGAAACACATTTCTGCTGAACTGTGTCAATTTATTAATACTGAATGGTTTAACAGAAATGTGTTGTCTTGTTTTTCTATTATAATTTTATTTAGAAGTTAATATTTAGCTGTATGGATAGAGCTTTCAGAATCTATAAAATAAAAAAAATAACCTTTTTGTTTAGTTTATTGGCATAGATTTCAGCAAATCACAAAATTGCATAGCAAAATGGCACACATCAGAGGAGGTAACAAACCCAGAAAAATGCTCCCAAACACCAAAGAGATTCCATCATTTTTCTGTTAACAAAGCTGAGATTTATATTCCTTTAGATTTGCACTATTTTTTTCACCCATAAACTGTTTGGCTTCCAGCTGTAACATAATGTCTTCATCCTATTGCTGGTTTATGAAACATTACCTGAAGAAAGAGTAATTTAAATTATTTTAAATCATTTACTGAGAAATTTTAAATAGTTGGCATAAAAGTTTCATCCCACCTTATCTCCACTGGTGGCAGAAGTATGCTGCATGTAAAACTTTATTTGTGATTCTTTGGTCTATGCATCCCTGCATACATATAGGTGCTGTCAAAAAAACCTCACACAGTTAATTTAATTATGAGGAATATAAAACAATGATACGTAAAATAGCAATTTTTCTTGAGCAAGTCATTAATAAATTAGGGAGGTTATTTATGTTCTATTTGTTAAATATTGTTACTGCTTTTCTGTATTGGGTTTTGTTTAATAATTTGGTATCTAATAATCTATCACTCATTATTTCATGAAATGGCAGCTAACAATATTTTCTAATAAGGTTAGAAACCCGTAAACACAGTTCATATTTGAACATGTGTTTTAATATTATTTTTTCCTTGCTTTGTCTTGGTGGTGTGCATTACTACTCTTTTACACTTAAATTAGATTCAGTTTCTCTAGAGACATTCCTCACAGCTTACATTCCTCTTCTCTGCAGCTGCCAGATCTGTCATGAGGAAAATTAACCCATGATATTCATCATCTTCTGTGTAACAGAAAGAATTCAACTGTGGCAGCATCTTTTTGCTACACAGACAATCTCCATTGCTCATAAACAAAAGAATTTCTTTATGCTGCAAATATGATTTTGCATATATGCAAGGCCCCATATAGGCAATACAGTCTTGCTCCCTCCCATCATATTCATTTGCAAGGTCCCCTCTCCTGTTTTTTATTTACTATATTAATTTCATTATGTAATTATGAATTACCAATTACATTTTTAGTTCACATGACTTACAAATTATTAGTTGGGTTATAAATTGAATGAATCAAGTAACAATTGCTAACCTAATTAAAATATCTGTCACAAGCCAAAAATCTCATGAAATACCACTTACTGATTAGAATATAAATTTCAAGCATAATTATCAGTTTACAAAAAAATAAACATGAACATAAATATATAAATAAACATATTTAGCATGAAAACAATGCTTAGTGGACTCAAAATAGTCAATCAACTGCATTTTAGTAGAGAATTTCAGTGCTTTGACTTATCCCTTTTTGAAATGGGAGATTGTAGATATGGCATGAGTGCTTGGTTTATCAGTGTTAAAATTGAGTACAGTGCTGGGAGCACATATGAAAAACTAGGGATTAAAAGCGTGGAGGAATTCTGATTGACCTCACAGTCACATGTTGCATGTTCAGAAAGTCCTGAAGTGCAGAGCTAAAACGCATGCAATAACCTTATTTTACTATGTTACAATTCTACTCAATAATTTTCCTGCTCCATCTTGCTCCTGTGTGATGCAGCAGGCAGCACCTAGATTTTGTGGATGTTTTCCACAACAAATTAAGTCCCAGAAAGGAGTAGTGAATTTCATATGCCCAGATCATTTACCCATCCTCAAACAATATAATTAGTAAGGTACACAGTACTAATTATCCTGAGATCTTAAAGGTAATGCTTTAAAAAACAGTGCACTTGACATGCTCTTGACTAAATGCCACTAATTGGAAGTAAGAATTGCACATTTACAACCCTAGGAAAATGCCAAAATCCTTCAGGAACGGGCAGTCGCTTACATCAACACAGATTCTTCTATAGAAGGTGGGTCTTTTATTTCAAACCTTACCTGACTTTACAGGTGTAACTTCTATTAATTCTCACTGAATTATTTACTGCACGAGATGGGTATTGTGGTGTACAGAATAAGTGTAGCAAATACAGAATTAAGTGAAGAGAGAAAAATTTAAATTTTCATGTTGCTTTATTTTGCAAATAGTGCCATCCGTGAGCAGCAGTCCATGTGTCTGAGACCAGAATGTTTCCTCTGGAGGAGTTTATTATTCTGTGCTAATGAACTGAGCATTCTATATGTTAAACTGTCTCTTAACTGCATTAGTTTTAATTTACAATTGTAGCTTTAATATATGACAGTCTGCTCCTTTTTCTGGTCACAGCTCCAGCTCCTTTCCCTGTGGAATTATATTTTGAGACAATAAATTATTACGATTGTAAGACCTAGTTGTGGGAGATGCTTTGGTGCTTTGAGCTAGTGTGCTCACTTTTGTTGGTTACCAGGAGCAAGGGGTTATATATTTATTACAGCAAGACTTTTAAAAAAAATAAGCCCTGAAAAATGTTTCACAAAAAACCTTCTCCACCATTATCCGATTTACTGTGTCCCTCAGATTATGAGAATATGTCATTCAGGAATGCTGCTTAGAAACTGGCCCTTTTTTATGAGATGGCTCAACACTATGATCTATATCATAAAATCCTTCTGAAATTATGCTACCACTTATTACAGAGACACCTTTTTTACTGATTTCTGTGCTGAAATAATAGTCAGAAGAGTCCTGTGAAACTGCTCTGCATCATAACCTCAGTTATTCAGGGCATTACTCTTCTCATGTCAAATCCAACTTATTTGGGCTTCATGTGTGTGAATAAAATGAATATCTACAGGCATATTTAGGAACTCTTTTTATTCCTGTCAGCTAAAAATTGTGTCTGTCACAAAAGGATTGGAAATAAAGAGAAGCCAAATCCAGTTTCTAAATGCTCAGTTGGAGTTGGGGAATAAGGAGGGTTAGAGCTGTTCCTTCATTTATGCTGCCTACATGCTGTGTAAAAAGTAGAGCAGAATTTCACACCTAGAAGATCTCACGAATGAAATAATAGCTTTACAACTGCTTCATATTCTCACCATGGATTTTAACGCATATTTTTTAGTTGGTTTGCAGCCAACATGCTGCTGCCTTAAGAATTTTCTTCTAAATCTTGATTATTCAAATATGTCTCTTGCTTTATGCATTAAAGAAAATGTGAAAGCAAAACATCTGGAAAAGAAGTGTATAATAAGGAAAAGAACACCATGTTCAGTGCACTGGTTTAAGTGTCTTGGACATCTCTCACCTGAGAAGGAAAATCATCTGCAGACTCATAGCATCCATGTACTCTGAAAACTATTTTGTTTATCACCATATGTTCTCCACAACACTTCTTATACCACTTTTTTTGGTCAACAAATTATTTCTATTTATTGTCCCATAGCAATGAAAATAAGCAAAGCAAGGAATTGTTTTGAGCACTTTTGTGGCTTGAATTTCCAGTTTTCAAATGCAGACTCTTCTTGGAAACATCATTAACAGTATCTGGTATTTTTTCCATCATCTAACTTTTTGCCTTCTGTTCAACAAAGCTTTGGGAAGTGTATGAGTGACAAGGGCTTGTAGCTAATGAAGGTTAATTAGGCATATTTTACAGCTATGGGAAGGCTTAATTACATTACTGTGGATGTACTATAACCAATACATTATTGTCTTGTAGTGGCAGTAGCTCACAAAGGGAGACCATGCAGTCTATTTCTGTATTTATTCTGAGGCAAGATCTAAATTCTTAGAAAAAAGTTTATCTAAATGCCTTAGTCAAAAAGTTTTTCTAAGAAAGGACTTCAGGATTTAATCAGTTAAGAAGATAATGCCCTTAGTACATGAAGGGAAAATTTCCATATCTTTGTTTTATTTTCAGGTAACTACACATTAAGAGTTGACTGTACCCCTCTTCTCTACAAATTGGTGTATAATCTGACAAAAGAGGTACAGAATCAATTTTTTCTGCCTTTCTAAGAATAAGTAAGACTCCAAGTTTATTTGATAAAATTGGGCTATTCAATAATATGAGATTTATTTTATTGCTTTGCTAGAAGAGTCTTGATACCACCAAAATCAATAGCAAAACATCCCACCAGCAGTACACAGTCCTCACAGTTCCTCAGTATTCTCAAAAGGATTGAAATGTGTCACTGACATAAGTGGAATCTTATTTGCAATATACAGTAAAACTAATAATAATAAAAGCAAGATGGTAAAATGCTTGAGCAAGATCAGTTATCTAAATTTATTCTCTAAACATTGAAGGAAAATATTTTTGACATTGGCTAGCTACCATTTTCCCTGTCTGTTCCCCCAAATCTTCTCCATATCTCACTGAGCCCTTGAAATATGTGATAAACACTGAAGGATTAAGAAGGTTTTTTAACAGGTCAGATGTATGGATTTGCATTATTTCAAGTTGTCTAACCATGACTCCTTCACTTTCACCTCACAGGATACATTATCATAAGGCTGAAAAGTTGTGATCCATTAAAGCATGGAACTTTGCTGTTTGAGGAGTTAACCAGATTAGGCACCTGTCATGAGCCACTGCCACCATCCTCAAATGAGGATTTGTCTCAGTTAACAGAAGACAGCTCTGTCTGAAACCAGCAACATAGGCTCCCTGTAAAGGCATTGGGTAGAAATAGGTGCCTTTAGGATGAGATTCACTTGACCAAATGTAGTTGTCTAACTTTGTATGTATTGAACTCAAACTATTTCCCCTTTGATCTTAAGGCACCTCAGGTCAGTTGGCCCAGTCTAAAAATGTGCACTGTAGTGGCACTTGGTAGGCTGACTCCAGGTACCAATCTCCCATCCAGCTAGATCCATTCATCCCGAGTTATTTTCTAACACAGTACACTTTTACCACCTGAAATGCCATGGTTTAGATCTGGGCAAGTTTATCTATGCTATTCCCATGATTTTCTTTTCTTTTCTAGATTTCATTTTCTTATCAATTCTTTCTATCTTTCATTCTTGCAGAGGGAAGAAGCTGTGCTATTTAAATATTAGCTCTGACACTTGGCACACTGAGGAGCATTCTCTTTTGTCTATAAAAATTTTCATGTCCTTAGTGCTGCAGGGCCCTTGATAAAATAATTTACTTTCTGTCTGAAGCAAGCCACTAACTCAGGAAGACATTTTGCTGCAAAATATAAACAAAGTTAGAAAAAAGTGCTCTGGGCTAAAAATAGTACCTCACTCTTGATCTTAAGTCAACTATTCAGCTGTTGCTGGCTTGAGTAGAAAACTTCCATTAAAGTACCATGGAAAGTACTTGCGACTGAATTGAAAAAATAAATGTTATATTCACTGTTATTTTAGCTTTTAACAGTGGAAGCATGATGTAAACAAAGGAAAACCTGGCAGCCTGACCCCTTTTCCTTTTCCAAAGGAAAGTTATTCTGTTCATATTAAGGTGTCCAACATCCAGTTATCCAACATCCAAAGATCTCTTTGCTCTTCTTGTTTTTAGTGAGACAGTTGTCACCAGAAAGAAGTGTAGTGTACACATGAAGTGTTTTCTTTCAGGGAGTTCTGCAATTAAGAGTGGTCCAGCACACAGATGGTACATTTAGATGTTGACTGTCTTTTTGGTCCTGCTTTACTGCCAGGGTTTAGATATTTGGTCACCACCAAATGGTATCTGCAATAGTTAAATTCCCCTGTGATTATCACTGCTTCTTTTGCATTTATACTTAAAGAACCCTTCATCTTCTCTTGAGTTAGCAGGAAGCTTATGCTGATCCTAGATTTGGATCTAAGTCAAGGCAAATATGTTTTCCTGTGCTCTCAGTGTTGTATGAAAAAGCTGACCAATGTTTTTTATATTACCAGAGCTGTTAGAATAACATCTTTGCCAGAGCATAGAGTGCTTTTGCTCCCATATGTCAGAGTTCAGCCTGTTCTTATTAATGTGCAGTTTTCACTTTAGCCCTCGGACTTGACCAGAGTACCCTGAAAATGACAGCAGCCAAGCAGTTATTTCACAAAGTTGTTATTTTCCTGCTAGCTGCTGACAGAATCTCAGAGGTTAGAACTCCTTGGAATTTCAATTTGGAGTCTGTATGTTTTTCAAGGCTGAATTGATGTCTCAACAATATGGTGGGGTCATGTAAGTGTCCATGAACATTTCTGCTTTGTATTTCAGAAAAACAAGTTTCCAATCCTCTGCACATCATAATGAATCTTATGTTTAAAGGACCGTGTCTATTAAAGGTTGTTTAAGTGTAGGTGGAGACCAGGACTAGAGTCTTGATGTATTTCTACTCTTTCACAGATTTTCTAAGAGCTTTGGTCAACTCATTTTATACTCTTTCATAGTTTTGCTGGCAGCATGGTGACTGCACTAATACTTACCTTTTCCATCCTGGTTACAGTGATTTTGGGGGTTTCTTCAAGGCAAGGGTGAGACCCACATTGGTACATACAGTGTCTTGCACAATCATTCTCTGGGCTTGGTTGAGTCCCCTTGGAACTGCGATAACATGACTTGTTTGGACCCTTCCTTCTAGCACAATTCTTTTCTACCTTTCCTACAGAACAAGCTGTCAGATTTTAAGCTTAGCCTTGTTGAGAGCATATTGCTGTTGTGCAGGGCAAACCTCAGGGCAAACAGGCTTGTGGTTGTCATCTCCCCATGCCTGCTGGAAGCAAAGCAGGTTCTAGTTTCTGGAGGAATCCCATAGTATTATATATGCTGTTGTGTGAGTACATGCACATTCCCCTGTAGTAGATGAGCTCCAGGTAGCATCCTTTAGTTTTTAACCTGTTCTTTCCTACTGTCTGCGTTTGGTTCCAAGTGCCCATGAGATGCTTTCCTTGTTTGGGAATGCATAAATGTGTGTAACAAATGTCACTATTCACTTCCCTGCATGCAGCAACACTTCTGGTTAAGAAGAATGCAGGGAGCTGCAAAGATCTTCTTTGATAATGAATCGAGTTAGAGGTACTTCCAATGAGATTACAATATTTCCCTCCCCAGATTTTAAGCCCTGATGAGGGTTATGAAAATAAATCTCTTTATGAGAGCTGGCTTGAGAAAGATCCCGCATCTGAAAATAACACCTATCCCAGGTAAGTTGTTAATATCTTTTGGGGTTTTTTACCCCAGTATTTTAATCATATAATGGCATGGCTACTCACCAGAATTTTTTGAGATGTGCTATTTATAGCAGCAATACAAAACCATTAGCACAAGGTGACTCTCTAGCAATATCTTTTATAATAAAATAAAATAAAATAAAATTTTATTATTTTTATTTAATGATGGTGATATTCCTGCAGTGAAATGAAACCTAACACTTTATAAAGACCTTTTTATTAGTAGAAAAGCAATTTGAAAAGCATTCAAAAAAAAAAGCAGGGTGGGGAAATAGTTCAAAATATAGTTTAGTCAGCTACTAGATGAGATAAAATCAAAATTGTTAGGATAAGCAAGCAGTTGAAAGAAGCTGCCTAGAGTAGTAAATAAAAAGCAGTAATTAAAAAACTTGAGATAATTATACTGTGTTTATACAATGGAGGTAAATGTATTACATAACAAATATATATATGAGTGTATTAAGACTTCATATTTGAAGGTATTGCAACTCCAAAACACTCTTTCCACCTGTGACTCAGGCTAAATCTTATTTACAAAGCGTGGCGTTACTGACATAAGGTAAACTGCTCCTTTTCATGATTTGCCAAAAATTTTCTTCATGTTTCTGGCCCTGCTAAGAAGAGTTTCTGGATTCATTAGACTCACTGAGATTTCTTCCTTTTGAGAAATCTGCCAGATATGATCTTCCTTATTTGATGCACATTGTTCCTTGCAGAAACGTACACTAACAGAAGAAACTTTGTTTGTTTGTTTGTTTTTCCTAAGAAACACTAATTATTCACCAGGCCAGACATATAAACTTCAAAGGCAAATATTTGAAAATACTTCGAATGCTCCCCCCTCGTGTCTCCTGCCGTTTCCTTAGCCGTGCCACGCCACAGCTCCCCATCAGATGGCAGCGGCGGCCCGCGGGTGCCGAATGCCGCCCGTGCCTTCCTTTTTTCATTGGGAATTATTTATCGGTCTCGGATTCTGCTGCGGAATGTGCCAAGCGCACAAACACATCTGTCTTTACACATACTGCTGCCCAATTCGGGTTAGTTTGGAAATAGACGATTGATGTTTTAAGACGGCAGAGACATGCCTGATACAATTTTATGGCTCCTGTGCATAAAGTGTTTGTATTTTTAATGTCATCGCTGCCATAATTAGGATTGCTACAATTAAAAGATCTTCCTAGCAATATTGGATACTGAATCAGAGTGTTGGAATAAAATCAGTTAAGTAATTAAGCTTGCCATTCATCTAGTCTTTGATCTTACTAGTGTCCCTGATGTGCCCTTCAGAAGAACTGACCTCAATTTCTCTGAAAAATCTGCATTTTGCATAAATTACTACCATACTGTTCAGTAAGTGCTCTCACTAAGATGTTGTCTTTTCTGCATGCAGAATAAATAAACTGGGGTCAGGCAGTGATTTTGAAGCTTACTTCCAGCGACTGGGAATTGCATCAGGCAGAGCTCGTTACACCAAGAATAGGGTAAGTCTGACAAACTGCTTGAAGAAGTTTGATAGTGCTGAGCAGTCATCCTGCTAAAAGAATTTATTCATAATTAATAAAAAACCTTCAAAGCATCTTTGACTGGTTTGTATATCACTGACATTTCTTAATTTAGCAAGGAACCTAAATGTTTGGAGAATAAGACATATTACAGTGATGTGTATATTCTATAGGATTTCAAGTTCACAGAAAGGTATTTATAGAGTCTGATTGAAGGTGGACAGTTTGTTCCACCATGCTATTAATAGTCCCTTTAATATACAAATCTTCCACAGTTGTGTTCAGAAACAGCTGCACAAGGTAAAAAGGGGCTGTGATCGAGGACTTTTGCTATCCAAACTCTAAATTGTTTTCACTCTTGAAGAAGGCAATAGAACTGAAGGCAGGTCTGTGTGGGTGGAGAGAAGGAAGGCTGCTCACTTAACCCTGTGCAACACTCCATGCATTCAGATTGGTTAAATTTTTTAATGGGAACACACAAAAATGAAGGATAGTAAATTGTGTTTTGTAGCAAATAGCTTTTTTGATTTGGAAACCAAACAAAACATCAGAGTTGTAAAGGGATCAATACATTTTTTAACTGCAGCCAGAATACAGGGCATTGACAAATTTGCTTGCTCTTTTCCAGAAAGCAGACAAATTCAGCAATTATCCTGTTTATCACACTGTGTATGAGACATTTGAGCTAGTGGAAAAATTTTACGACCCCACCTTCAAGAAACAGCTAACAATTGCCCAGTTACGAGGCAAACTGGTTTATGAACTGGCAGATTCCCAGGTCATTCCCTTCGACTCTAGAGACTATGGAGAAGCCTTAAAAGGATACAGCAACAGAATTTATAAGTTGGCCAAGAAGCATGAAGAACAACTGAAACTTTACAAAGTATCATTTGGTGAGTAACAGCCACAGGACTGTTTCTTATGTGCATTAATTCGAATACTGCAGGGACACGTTACATCTGTCATAGCTCTGCAAATTAATTCCTTTCTTTCCTGTTTAAATTTTGCCATCACAGTAAAGAGCCTCTAATTTATTTTTTTCCTAAACACAACACAGGTTTATTATTATTACCTTGATAAGAGGGTTATAACAATTTTCATGCATATTATTAATTACAGGCGTTATTACAGTGCCCATGGGCAGTCAAGGACCTCAAATGCAGGACAAAGAGGGGTCTCAGCCTGCTTCTCACTTCCTTGCTTAAAAAAAGAAGACGGGTCAAGTGCTTATGGCAATTGCTTGGAAACTGAGGGACATAGGTGTCCATTCCTCTTCATCCAAAACTTCATCTGACCCTGAGGAGGGAACTTCACCATCTCCCTCAATGCCTGGTTGCCATTTTTAAGCCACAGGAGCACTTTTCCAGCTCTCCTGCATGAACGCATCCATTTGCTAGCACCTGAGCACATTGCTCTGGAGCCCATAAAACAGGAATAAATCAGCAGAGTGCTCTGGATCCCAGGCAGGCATAGCTTCAGTCATTTTCTTTCTCCCCTTTTTTCCCTCTTTTTTCCTTCTTTCCTTGGCCACACCTTGTGTTTCTGCACCAAGGAGATTTTTCAGTCAAGTCCTAATTCACTTGCTATCTGATGAACCCATGATTTAGAGATATAAACCACCTTTTGGAGATGAAGTCCTCGTTTGGGGCATGTGAAACATTGTAAGTAACTCAAATTTATGTAATTTAGTTTAAGTCTGTCAGTTTAGGTGAATAATCGTTGACTATTTTGAAAAGACATCCTTTTTTGTAAAAAGGCCTCTTGAGACAGAGGAAACCTTGTGTGATGGATCATCTGGTCTGAGATTCTGTAAAACACCAATAGTTATTTCAATATGTCCTAGTGTTCACTGCAGCATGTCTTGTAAGATCAAATCTAATTTTTTTGCTGTAGTAGAACATCCATCAAAATATCTGTGAAATAATTTATTTTAACTGTTTGAGTTTCTATTTTCATATTAAAAGTTGCACAAACTACCTCCTGACCAATTTATCTATTCTTGTTCCTAGAATCTAGAAGCAATCTTCTATTTTTAGCTTTTTTTCCCCTCAAATAACTCTGAAACCTCTACTTAATCACTTTATAAATGTGTCATTTTGACTATTTTTACAAGGCATGTTTTTCAGTCTTATCATTATTGTCATGGCTTTTCTCTGATACCTGGTGAATTTTAAATGATCTCTTGAATGAAGCTATAATTTCTAATTTTTTATTTATTCTATTGCGCCAGAGTACATTAAATAACATTAATAGGTAGGCTTTACAATACTGTGAAAATTAAAGTTTATTTCACTTAGCATTTTCATAGAATTACTTATTGACCACACTGAATGCCAGAAAATTGTTGATTCAGCCTCACTAAATCATATAATTGTCCTTTAAAATAATAGATTAAGGTTCTTATTTGCATTTGGATTCACATTTTAGCTGTTCATCTGCAACAATGAAGGCTGGAACCTTTTTTTCATAAAATGTGTGCTTGTAGTCATATGCTATCAGGAAATAATGTTTTCAAGTGGGGAGAAAAGACATGTAATGTTTTCTAAAATAACCAGCATTGACAACACTGAATAGCTAGTGGAAAGGAACGCAAAATTTCTTATATATATATCAGATTATTTTTTTTTCTCTTTTAAATCCCCTCCTACTGCTTCTGAAATATAATTTGTTGTTGTGATATGGCCATGATGTCAGCAGAGCAGGACTCTGCCCCCTGGTAAACCTAGAGCTCTTGACCCTTGGTTGTGGAGAAGTGTGAATTCTCACCCTCACAAGGTGTCCCTCTGAGCTGCAGCCTGTAAACAGCTTGCATACATGAAATCTGTGCCTCCAATTGCACCAACTGAACAACAGCAATAAGACAAAAAAGAAGCAAGTGTAGGCTCGTGGTGAATAAATAAGTTTGTTAGAAATAAAAGAGCAAGTGAGTTTGAGGAACAGCTTTCGATAGGAGTCCTAGGAACAGAAAGCCTGTCACGTGAAACTGGGTGATAAATCTATAAACAGTGAAGGGATAATAGTTACCAACAGAGGACTGGATTTAGGAGATGATCTAATCGTATGTCCCATCTTCCTGCACAACTGAAGAGAGGGTACTCTGGTTTAGCCAAAGTTCTCTGAAACTTGTGGGCAAAATGTACAAGTTTTAAACTGTCTTTCTTTCTACTTGAGTTTTGGTGAGGCCAGAAGTTAGCCTTGTAAAATCCACCTGTGATTTATTCTACAAAAATTACTTGCCTAAATCAATACTTTTCCCAGGTCTGTATTAAATAGAGCCTTCCACAAGAAAATCATCACAGCTGCTACTGCCATTAAAAGGAAGGCCTGCTGCTTCTCTAAGTTATTCCACATGTCTTGGACATACTGGGCTGGGACAGGGCAGGAAAAAGCAGCAGCCATTCCTGCCCACCTGCCTGCACACAGTCAGACAAGCCAGCCTCCGGGGTCTAAGTGGCAGTGCTGTGGGACAGCACGGAGGGATGTGGCAGAGACACCTCCTGTGCTGCAATTCCAGCGTGCAGCAGGCACAGGACTTGGCTGCTTCAATCTGCCATGTCTGTCCCTTTGTGCCGTGACAGCTGTGCCTTTTGTGCCCCACCTAACACGGCTCAATGCACGTATCACACTCTCCTGTTGGGCTGTGAATGGCACATCTTTCTCCTAGAGCGAAATCCCGCTGCTCTCCCACAGCCTTCTGAAACAGCTGGTATTTCTGATGGAAGTCAGGCTTTTTATACCTGAACACTGCAGTGCATTTGTTAAACAGGAAACTGCAGAGCTCTCAGTTTGCAAAGACAGCCAATTTTTTGCTTGCAAGGCAGAGGGAAGATGTATGGTTGTGAAAGCTTTCCCAAGCACTCTGCTTTACTGTTATCTCATTGCAGAAGGTATTTGCTAGTAGTGCAGCTCTTTAAAGTCTGCACTAGGGAAACCAATCAATTATGTAAAGACAACAAAATTAATGCTATTATATCAGCAAGATAAATGTAGTTCTTCTCCCACTGGGCAACTGAAAGGTATATTTGGCTTAGTGAAAACTATGAAATTGTTCATGTAATCCTTCCATTCCTAGATCCTCTTTTTTCTGCTGTGGTGAACTTCTCAAAGGTTGCTGCTGAATTTCACAGGAGACTTGAAGAAGTTGACAAGAAAGAGTAAGTCAGAAAGAAAAAGTTATATAAATGCATATGTATATATTTATGTCCTTGTTTGCCTTAGGTACCCAGAATTGGGCAGTTCTTTATTTCTTCTACTACACAGGGATTCTCTCTGATTAGTGTAGAACAGAGCTCTGAACCCTGAGACAGGCAGTAGCTTTTAAGATGAATTAGCAGATACAAGAATGTGATTGACAGTATGAGCTGTAGATCTTATTACAAGTATCAGGTTGTCATTAAAATTACTGTGTTATATGGAAAGGCAGGTAGCAATGAAAGTTAGAGCTGGACTGAGATCTCTATTTAGGCACCTACACTTGAGTGTTGTAGGTGATGCCAGAATTTGTACTTTCAGTACACTTCAAAGACAGAGGATGATGCTTCAGAATATCAGAGATATCCATATGATGCTTGAAAGCCTAAGGCCCCAGCAGCACTCCTGTGCCCTCTGAGTACAGTGACTGCAGGCCACATATGGTACCAGTTGTATTTAGGCAGCTGCATCCTATTCTTACTATGTTACTGTATAGATTAAAGCAGGACTATGGATATTTGTTTTATGAGTGGACACCAAAATTTAGCTATCTTCATCTATGTAAATCTCAGTCTTCCTCTCCCCTCTGTTAAGTGGCATCATTCCAGTGCCATTTAATACTAATCCATTTAATACTATCTGACAATCTCAGAAAGTTTCCCATTTTATTTTGCATAGTGTGAAATGTTGTTTTCAAACACAGAAATATCAATTAATAAATATAATGGATTCAGCATCTCCGTTTGCAAAACCTCATCTTTTTTTTTGTGAACTGTAGACCACACTTGTCTTCTTTTTCCTTTTTCTGTCAAAAACAACAACAACAAAAGATAAGAGTTTTAAATTAAACTGGGAAGTCATGTTTCCCCGCTGTGTGACATTTCTGTGTCTCCCTCTCCTGCAGTCCAGTTGCAGTGCGCATCATGAACGATCAGCTGATGTTGATAGAAAGAGCTTTCACTGATCCTCTGGGCTTGCCAGGAAGGAAGTTTTACAGGTGAGGCTAAAAGTTTCTTGACCTGCTGTCTAAGGCACTTTATTTTTGCAGCTGACTGGTCAGTGGAATTGCTGTATAGGTCTCAAAGGAATTACAGAGTTCAACACATTGCTTTAAGTACAATTCAGTGAATAGTGGACTTTGTTTATAACCCCTAAGGTGAAGCCCTTGGCTACACTAGTCTTGTGGAGCCAAATTCCTCTCTTTTGGCTCTCTTTGCATCAGCTGTGGTTAAACCACAACAGCATTATATTCTGACTTTTACTTGTAAATGTGCAGTATCAGCTGTTACAACTTGCTCTTGTGATCATCAGAGTGAGGATTGAGTGGAGAATGGCTGTACTGTATTGAAAAGACAGGTGAAAAGAGGGTAGAGTAAAAGGGAGACAAGAATGAGAACAGATGTGTAGTGAGGGTCAGTTGGAGAGAGAAGTTGAGAAGGGAGAGCTTGGAGAGAGTTTGGAGAGGGAGAGACCTTTCAGCACAGGATGAATGCCTGTGAGCTGTGCTACAGTGCCCCGTCTGTCCCAGCTTTGGCTGCTTCTGTGGGTGCTCCAAAAAGCTTAAACTACTAACTATCCTTTCTTAGAATGCTTTTATTAGGAATACCTGACAAGAATCCAGCTTTCAGTGTCAGGGGTTCCTAACAACTGGATATATCTGACCCACTGATGGATGGCTTTCACACCATGCCAGAAGTCTTTCAGGCAGGTAGAACTGAGAATCACATTCCCATTCTCCTAGGATAAACTGTCATTCACACTTTGAGAAGAACTGAGTAATTTCTTTCCAGAAATTTTCTTGTTGGGTGTTAGGTATCATTTGGAGCTGTCTGGGTTTGGTTTTGTTTGGTTTTTTTTTTTTTTTTGTTATTAGTTCTTACTTACTTACATTTATTAATGTAATTTTAATATTGATACTTCATAGTTAAAATCAATTTAAGAGCAGATCTGCAGCTATTAATAATTTAGGGAAAAAAAACTATACCAAAAAAATAGATTGATATTTCGTGCAGTTCTGATCCAATATGATCACTGCTTTTCTCAAGAATTCACTTACAGATTTTTTTCCCCCTCCTTTTAAATTGCTTTCCCTGCTAAGTAATCTGCTGACCACCATGCAGCTACTTAGTTGTTTCTGAGGTTTCTATTCCATTTCTCACAACACACCTATAACTGGTTTTATTCCCTGTTCCAGACTGCCAAATTACTTTGACAGATTTGTTGAGCTCCCATTTTCAAAAAATCTAACATGGTTTTGTTCCTAATTAGACAAATATGTCATCTCCTCCCAAGGAGAAGGCCACTTGACCTAAATCTGTGCCCTTTCCAATAGATTTTGTTCTTGGGACTGTTCCTGTCCTTTTAAAGACCAACTTCCTGTGTATTTAGTATGCTCTGGTCTTCCTGAGATTCATAGCTGCACACACACCCCATTATAGTTTCTTCTATTTAGGATAATTGCCTTTTTCTTCTTTTCCCACAGACATGTCATCTTTGCTCCAAGCAGCCACAACAAATATGCAGGAGAATCCTTCCCAGGAATCTATGATGCCATGTTTGATATTGAAAGCAAAGCTGATCAACATGAAGCCTGGGAAGAAGTGAAGAGGCAGATTTCCATTGCAGCCTTCACTGTGCAGGCAGCAGCAGAAACACTGCAGGAAGTAGCGTAAGACGATGGCTTTGAAAACTCACACTTTGCATAGTGTGGCACACAGAGTTGTCACAGTTGCTGCTGCATGGCCCAGTGTCCCCAGCTGCTGGCCCCGCCTGAGACTCCAGCCTCCCAAACTGCGTGGTAGGTGAGCAGAGCTCAGAGCTCTGTGTGTCAGAGAACTCCTGAGCTGGAATTGCTGCATCTCTGGTACTGACAGAACTGTAGCTTTATGAACTGCCCAGGATGGAAGCAAGATGAGTGTGGGGAGAAGTCAGAAGGGGGGCAAGCAGGAACAATCCGTTTCTGATTAGAATTGTCTGAGACATCTGCCAAACTTTGAGGATCCAATGTTTTGGATGCACAGTTACGAAAACAATTATTTGCCAAGCTACCTGCAAATTTTGTCCACAGCAGTGATCAGCAGCACACATTTTGACAGAAAAAATGTAATACTCGGCCTGTCCATTTTTCTTGTTCTGATAATTACTTTTATAATAGAAGACACCAAAGGCATCTCTGCATTTCAGAATCTACTCTGCAGGACTGGTGAATGCTCTTTACACTGATTTGCTTTCTTTTCCTTAAAAAAATAAAAAAGTGACTCTACTACTGAATATCAAAGCAGTACTGCCCATTCTCAATAATCAGGGAAAACAGCTGCTTACATGCAGAAATCCAAAAGCATGTTCACAGTGGAGTGCATGTCCATCCGTCTGAAAGACATTATGCATCTCCCTCCTTTATTTGCACTTTGGAAAATAATGATTTTGGACAGGTACCAAAAGCCCTGTTCTTTTTTGGCACTTTCTCTAGTTCCAAACCCATGGCAACTTTTGTTCCTATTTTTTCCTGGGCAATTTCTTTCATATTTTTTCCATCTGAAGGAGCTGGAGGACATTGTTATTATTAGCATGGAGCTTGAGATAATTCTGTCTTCAAATAAGAACTGAGGAACATTTCCCATCAGGAGTTGATTTTACATTCAAAGAGGAACTGAAATGCATGAGAAGGCCAGTTGTACAAAACTCTTTAATTTGTATAAAAATATAAAAAAAAATTAAAAATTCTTGCTTCATTTGCCCTTTAGATGTAATTCTCATCTACGTGATTTAAAACTAATAAAATTGCTAGAATTTTACTGAATCACAGTCCAGCTTGTGGGAACTGACACGAACCAATTTCTTATATAAAATATAGTACAATTTTTGTCACTACCATAAATTGCACCAGGTTGTGGGAATAAAATCTTCTTTGTTTTATGGGGAATTGAACAGATGTGGCCCTAAAAAGGACAAAATTAGAGAAGCAGGACAGAGGACTTGCCTTGAATTCAAACAAAGGAACCAGAAAACTTGTGGGAGGCGGTAACTTGTTTTAGGTGATATATGCCACCAAGAAGAGAGGCTTTCACTAGCATCACTCCCAGTAAACCTCCGTGAAAGATGAAGAATTGTGCACTTGTGGATGCTGTTCTCAAAATGGGACTGGTACATAACTGCACTGGGTTTATTTTCCCTTTTTTCTAACCGTGTGCCCTTCCTGCTCCATCATAACTACATTAACTGCAACAGGCACTAGTGAATGTGCCCCCAAGGGAGGGTTAGGATATCTAGATGGTGGAAAAAAAGCCATTAGTGCCTCTTCTTTATGAGTAGCAACCAAATTTGGATCTGTCAGTGGTCGCTGCTGTAGGATCATCAGAGCATAAAGCAAATAAGGAGTTTCTACATTGAAAGGAAATATTTGATGAAACTTCCTTTTTCCTTCATTTACAAAAATGTATAAACCAGTGAACAAACGTTTCACCAGTAAATACAACTCTCAGTGCTAGCTAGCCTTTGAAGTTCTGTACTATTATGTTGCTGGTGCAAAAGAACATACAATCTCTCCTTGCTTCCCTGTGCAGTTTGAAGCTGTAAGAATAAATTACAGCTCACAGCAGGCTGAATGCACAGCTGGCATTGATCGCTTTGTTCCTCTTGTCAACTTAATTGATAACCGTGTGAATGTGAGATTCATCATGACCAGCTACATCCTGAGAAGTGTACAAAATAGATCAAATCTATTTCCATTCCTGTCTTTAAAGTTCTACTGAGGGAGAGTGACATCCACACTCTTATAAATAAGGAAACCAAACCACTTATAAATGTTTTATACTAACTGATTTCCACAAAATCCCTTATTCTTGGTATTGAAAGGATCAGTTAGTCAGAGCTCCAATCACTTTTTCTTCCTCAATGAGTAGAATCTTATGTTCTATAGATAAACAAGCCTCTGTTGCTGTCCCCTAGTCCAAAGTGTAGCTCTGCCTCCCTATAATTTTAAAGTGTGGGAAGGGAATTTTTCACACTCTCTTTACAAATGGATAACACTGGATCACCTACTCTGTTCTTCCCCAGTTCCATCTGCCCAGTTCCTTCACTCAGCCTGGCTGAAGCAATCAGTGAATCTTACAGCTGGGAGAAACCAACCCTTCAGCCTAGACTGGAGCTGCAAAACAATCTGGCAAAATTAAACCTGGATGGACCAAGTATCACTTGGATATTTGGGTTGTCAATTGCCTATTTAGAAAATCAGTTCCAAAGGGACAGTGCCTGGAATTTTATTCCAGCTTGGAGACAATTTTAGCAGGACCTGTTGCATTAGTACAAGAGGCAATAGTTTTAAACTAGAGCAGGGTCAATTTAGATTAGATATACAAGTACGACTTTTACAAAGCAGGTGGGGAGTTTTTACAATGCAGGTGAGGAAACACTGGAACATGCTTTCTAGATTGATTGTAGATACCCCATCCCTGGAAACATTCAGGGTGAGTTTTGAACAACTTGATCTAGTTGAAGATGGCAATGGGATTGGACTAGAGGGCCTTTAAAGGTCCCTTCCAACCCAAACCTTTGTTTGATCCTATGATTCAGATTCTTTTATGGCTGAAATACCTTTGGTTTGCCTTTGGAAAGAAATCTGCAACCCTAGGTGCTAGAATCTCCAGGTGACAGTGTCAAACTCATCTGGGGACCTCTCTCTGCAACTAATATAAACTGGATATACTCAGCATGACTTGTTTTTTTCCCTAAATTCCTCGTTTCATTCATAAGATTTCGGTGTACAGTTAACAGTGCTATTAAAAAAGCTGAATGTTCATGATGAACATCATGAACTTCTCTATGGCAGAGCAGAGAAGACAATGCTAAACAGAAATCTTGCTTCTGCTGTTCGGAGCAGAACCAAAGTGTTCTGTGCCTCACTGAACAGCACCTGTTCACAGAAAATGTCCTTCGAGAAATTCAGCAGGAACTGAATTTCGCAAGCAGTCTTTGTTAAGGTAAAAGATTGTTCTCGTTACACCACTGAGACTTGTGCCAGTTAGAATCTGTGAAGTCAAGGATGCTTCTGTCAGCATCAACAGTGTTTCTCCTGATGGATGCTGCACCCTTCAACATCTTATTCAACTTGGGGAGCTCAAGGAATCTAGGAGGAGGAGTAAGAGTGCTTTGCTAGGCACCTCATGCAGGAGAGGCTGGACCTGGTTCAAATAAACTCCAAACATGTCCCAACCTTTCATTAAGGGAAAGAATGGGAGAGGCAGTAATAGAAAAGCATTTCACAGGAGAGTATTGGATAAGAATAGACTTGCTAAGTTTACATGGCACCTTCCCCAGATGTGCTTTGCTAGCTTGCTGACAGTGCAGCTGACGTGCTCCTGATGCTGCCATCCACATTACTTCCAAACTTGGCTGTACTTTCCAAAGGAAACCCAAGTCATAGTTGCTGGACACAGTGTTGTGACAACATACCCTTATGTAACCCATAAGAAGCAGGAGTTCAGGCAGAGGAAATATGGTCAGCTGTGAACACTGAGCACTGAAAGATGCAGATCTCTCTGAGGTCACTCATCCCTTCAGATATTTCTGGAACCAACACTCTCCTACTGAAGCATTGCTTTTGTTTTCTCAGTTCTGTCTCCTAAGCCCTATTTCCACACTCTGCCAGAGCTGGCATGCCTGGACACCTCCTGCCCACACTAAAACTCTCTTCCGTCTGCAGCACACACCATATTATCCTGGCACTACTCTTACAGGAGTGTGCCTACTGACAGCAGCGATAGTGTCATCCACTGCCATGGCAGAGGAGTCAAACATTAACATCCTGCCAGTCTTATTACACGCAGAAAGAAACACACTTTGTAAGTTAAGATGGGTTCATTCATACGTCCTACATCTTAACTGTGTGATCAAAGAATGATTAGTCTCTATTATTAAAGAAAAAGAAAGGATAGTACAAACCTTTCAGTAGAAAAGCAGATAAGAGTATTTAGGAGCTGTTTCTCTTCCTGGGATCTCTGTTATCCAGAAGTGCCCCTTCTCCAATCATCCCACATCAGTAGTCCTCTACACCACATCCCATGCCCCAATTTTCAAGGCCCCTGCATCTCTGTGACATGGCACTAGAAGTATGTTGCTCTACACAGTAAACCTGCTTTAGTTTTAGTAGTTGTATTAAAAATATGTCTACACCAATCAACTACAGAATGAGAAACAAGGTAAACCAAGTAAGACAATAGTCACCTGGACATGAGAAAAGTTTTTAACAGCTAAACAAGCCAGAACAAAGCTGCAGGCAGGTTAAACGAAGTTCAGACAAAGCAAGCCTGGCAGGTTCCAGGACCCTGCAGAGCTGCAATGAAGCTTCTGCCATGGGAATCCTGTGCTCATTGAACTGTCAGCAGATATTAGGGACTACTTGGGGGAGGTCCCAAGTTTTTTAAAGAACTGAAAAAAAGATCATTAAGGACAGCTATTTATCCATAGCCATATGCACAGTTAGTGTCCACTCCTGGTAAACTTGAAATTCAGCCTGACTGGACTTTGGTTTTGCAAATACCATTCTTGTCATTTGCAGTCTGATAAAAATCAACCTGGCTGAAGACCAGATACTTGTATAGGATTCAGTGTGTGACTGCAGGACTTGGCACCTGCCTCTCAGGCAGCATTACACTCTTTTTTGTACTAAAACACTTTTACCAGAATATGGAGAAGCTCTGGCAAAATCTATCAGCTCTCTCACGGCCACTGCTGAGTCTGCACTAAACTATACTTACAACTTCAGGGAAGAACACCTGCAATGTGTGAAGGAAAAGGGAGGATGTACAACGCCAAAAGTTGCAATATATCCCTGACCAGTTATGCTTATTGAAGTACCCTTATGGGACAGTTTAAGGTAAAACATGTGTGCATTATATAATACAACTGTGAAACGCAAAAACTCATTAAACTTACACATGGTTTAGCTTAAGAATTATTCACTCAGCATTTGGGTACTGCCACTAAACCATACTGAATTTTTGGCCACTTTTCATTGTATAAGTCCCAACTATATCTGAGACTTCAGGCAATGTGTACCAATACAACTGTTCAATAATAAATGCAACAAATTTAACTGGCTGTTTTGTAAACTAAAATGTTGTTGAGGAAAAATAACAGCAAAAGAAGCACTGACCACTGCTCACAGCAAGGAAGTGAACCCTTACAAAGGTATGTGAGAGAAGTATAAAACACTGTCAAGTTTAGCAGCTGTTGTTGTTTTGCATGATTATTAAGCAAGAGTTGTTGCTTTGTATTATCCTTAGCATGTCTTCTCTGAATTATTTTCAACAAATATGTGACAGACTTTCTCTTAAAAGGTTATTTTCAACTACATTTCAATAGCCTCCATTCATTTTACCAACCTTCTCTTCTTTACAGTTGAAAATTGCTCTTGAAAAGCACAAGCATCCCACTTAAATTATCCAGTAAAGCAAAACTCTGGTAACAGAAGAGCCAATAAGCTTCCAGTTCACAAAGCTGCAGTTAAAGAACTTAAGCTACCTCTTTATTGTAGGTTTACCTCTTTATAGTAGGTTTTGCTCATGAGTAGACACTCCAAATGTTAATGGCTTTCACTATGGGCAGAACATTTAAAATTTGGGTTGTTTACGTACAAAAAGATATAACCTGATAACAAGGCATTCCCTTTAAAAAAAACTAAATTAAGTCCTTTGGGGTAGAGAAGCACACTGTATCAACTCTGCCTCCTTATACACAAGCCTGCTTTCCAATTAAGGAGGAACAAATTAGGTTAAGCATATTAGGCAATAAGCACATTAG